TTTTTGCCACCAAAGGTTATTTAACACATACGTGCCTGTGGCCTGGGCCGTTCCTACCCACGGGCCCATTAAAGGTCCTCAGGCTGAGCAATACAATTACACGGGTAGTGGTGAAACACGTTTTGTAGGCTTGCTAGAGCCTGAAACCATCCAGATTGTAGTCCACATGTAACAGAAATGAGAAGCATTCAAAGAGACAGCCGCGTAGTGACTGTGTGTCTGTCCTCTTAGACACTTCACATTTAATATTATATTTTAGTGCCCACACCGGCCTGGGAATATGCAGTCCATAAAAGGGACTTCCAGAAGTCTCATGTACTTCTTTTTTTAGAGAGATTTTTACTACACGGGATGTGTGCTCAATGGAGAGACAGAGAGAGACAGAAAGCAAGAAATCACTCCCGGGGGGATGGCCATGCCGTAGGCCCTTCTCCATTCTCCTCTCAGGGTTTTGGGCATGCACGCACACCTGCCTGGCATGAGTTTAAGCCACCAGATCCAGGACTCGAACTGTGGTCGACTGCATGGGAGTCCAGCGACATAGCCACTGCACCATCTGCCGGTCCCCGAAGTCCCACATACTGGTTAAAAAGTGGCAGGAAGATAAGGTGCAGCACTGTGGCATGGCACTAACAGCATGCCCGCCCTGCAAGGCTGGAAGCCCCCGGACCAGCTGCAGGTTCGGGTCCCCAGGTCGGCCTGGAATCCAGCCAGCCGCACATGCAGGCACCCGAGATCCTAAGGAGCTGCAGGGTTAGCAGGGGGCCGCGGCGTGATGAGAGCCTGTGCACGGTGCCCCTGCAGGGCACCTCGGCGACGCTTAGTAGGTTTACGTGGTCAGGTAACTGTCACTGTCCATTTTCTAGACCTTTTTCAGCATTCCCAACCAAAACTCGGTGCCAGTAACTCCCACAGTCCCTGGCAGCCACCACGCAGCGTTCTGTCTCTGACTTGCCGGGCCGAGGCCTCGCTCGACTGGAACCGCTGGGCGTGTCCTCTCCTGTAACGTCCTCCCGTGTACGTGTGCCACTGTACGTGCACACGTTTGTAAGTTCCCGTTAGCTAGTTCGATGCTCTCCCCACGGAAGCCCGGTGTGCCCTCTCGTTAACATTCTCACTAGCCTACAACGCAGGCGAGCTTAGTACCTCGGGGCATCGGGGGCTTGAACGACGGAGGGCTGGGTGCTGGCGTGGACAGTGGGTCCGCGTGAGGTTCTGGGTTCTGTGCGGAGGCTTCCCTGGGCACACCAGGCTTGCACGTGCCTGAGACCCAGGGCTGGCTGAGACTGGGGACGATCCTATTGCGGGTGCTGTCTCTCTGTGTCTCTGTCTCTTTCGTTCATGGAAGAAATAAATTTTTAAAAAAAGAGGGCCAGCCCTTGGTGTGGAGGTTAAGGCAGCTGGATGTCACACGGCTGACGTCAAGTCCCAGGAAAGCTTGCCAGGCGCATGCGCGTGGGCCCAAAATCCTGCCAGGAAGGATGGAGGAGAAAGGGGTGTCGTGTTGCCGTTGCCCCGGGGGCTGATTTCTCTCTCTCCCACCCTGGCAAGCACATGCACCCTGTAGCAGAAACTAAAAACTAATTAAATAAAAATAGAAAAAAATCAAATAAAAACAAAAGTACCAAGTCGCAACAGTTTCTAATATATATATATAGAGAGAGAGAGGAAGAGGGAGAGAGGGAGAGAGAGGGAGAGAGGGAGAGAGAGTCCCCAGACGGGACTGTCTCTTCCAGTCACCTTTCGGGATCTGGGGCACAAATACACAGGCTGCGGGACTGGAACCTGAGCCATGTGGGACCAAGGCTCTGTGCCCCCAGGGATCGTCCCTTGGTCTCTTCCAGGCTCTGTGCCCCCGGGGACCGTCCCTTGGTCTCTTCCAGGTTCTGTGCCCCCGGGGACCGTCCCTTGGTCTGTGCTCATCACCAGGCATTGGTGTCTCCTGACAAGGTGTCTTCATCATGGGAGCGACGGGCTTTTAGGTGCCTTCCACCTTGTCCCGAGGTTCTGTCATCCTCTAGAATACACTCATTCATTCTCCCCTCTTGACTAATGCCACACCTGTTGCAGGTGTGACATCTTCAACAGGGAAGGGAGGGAGCCGAGTCAGGGACCTGAAGTCCAGGGAACAAACAGCACTCGTCATGCCTGGAGTAGGGCATTTAGAGCAAATTTCTAAGTTAAAAATTCCATGTGTTGGGACCAGCAGTTGACGTAATGGCTATGTCACTGGACTCCCATGTAGTCAACCACGGTTCAAGTCCCAGATCCAGTGGCTTAAAACTCACACTGGGCATGCGTGCATGTGTACTGAGGATCCTGAGAGGAAAATGGAGGAGAAGGGATTGCGGCATGGCCATCCCCCCTGGGGGATGATTTCTTGCTTTCTGTCTCTCTGTCTCTCTCTTTCTGTCAAGCGCACGTGCCTTACAGCAAAAACCTCTCCCCCCCAAAAAAATTCCATGTGTTTGTTTTCATGATGGAAAAACACAGCTTTGAGTTTGACGTCAACTAGAAAGAGTGCCTAGGAATAAATATTTGGTAAAAACTGAACAAGCAGTGCGGTCTACGCGGTACGGCCTCCTTTGTGTGACTGTGCATGCATAAAAGAATATGGCCCGGTGGCTGAGGAACTGGATCCCACATACCCAGCCATGCAGTTTGAATACTGGCCCCGGAAGCTTGGGAAACATGCCAGGCACATGTGTGTGCTTGCCCTGCATCCCAGCAGGGTGGAGAAGTGGACGGAAGGGACTGTCTGTGACCTGCCCATCTGGGAGAGGTCTGTTTCTCTCTGACAAGCACATGTGTTCTCTGGCAATAAGAAAAAGGAGCGAATATTGGGGGTCTGTAGCACAGCAGGTAAGCTCTGTGCACAGGGAACCCACATGGCCAGGCGCAGTTTGAATCCCAGCCCCGGAGGCTTGAAAACACCGGGTGTCTATGTGAGCGTGTGCGCCCCAAGTCCCAGCAGAATGGAGAGATGCAAGGGGAGGGTGGCCGTGTGGCCGCATCCCTTTGGGTGTCTCTCTGTGATCAGCACACATGCCCTCTAGCAATTACAGAGAAAAGAATGGAAGGAAATGGATAAAAATGTGCGCTGCAGACAGTGGGAAGGGGGGTTTTCTCTTTTTCCCCTTCCTTTCTCAGTTTTCTCCAGTGAACATGATTCTATTTAAGCTCAACAGTCCACGCCATGATTAGAGCCAAACCGCAGCACCCTGAGCTGCATCCCTCTGCAGGAGGGAGGAGGGAGGACGGGGACTCAGAACTCACAACTCACCCTGAGCCTGGTGGCCCTGTCTCTCCTCAGGGAAGGCCGAGGGGGACGGCAAGATGCACATCACCCTCTGTGACTTCATCGTGCCCTGGGACACCCTGAGCACGACCCAAAAGAAGAGCCTGAACCACAGGTACCAGATGGGCTGTGAATGCAAGGTAAGCGGCCCCTGCCTCCCTGGCTGGGCTCTCTCCGGGTCAGCACCTCAGGGTTCGGTCCCCAGCTCCCAGAGGCCCCTATTCTGCAGTGTCCTGACTGAGGACTGGCTTCCGGGAGTGAGGCTGGCGGACTGGGCCTGACAGCCCTGACACACCTTGCAGTGCAGGGATCCTGGAGGGACAGGGAGCTTGAGGCTGAGCACACGAAGGGCAGCCTCCCAGGAAAAGGAGTCTTGTCGGAGGGTGTGGGGCCATGAGTGTGTCTCTGCAAGTATGCGCGTGCACGTGTGTGTGCCACACTCGGGAGCATCCGGGCGTCCCAGCTTTCCCAACGTCCTGGGTACCTCTGCACTTCGTAGTGTGTTGAGAACACCTGGAACGTGGGTCTCCCTTTCAAGGTCAGCCCCAAGGCTGTGCCAGGCACCGTGCAGCACGCTGACACTTAGAGCTGGAGAAGGCAAGCTCTCCCCCAGGCCCCATAGCTCAGCCCTCATCTGCCCTTCCCCTCCCCCAACGCTGCTGAGCACAGGTATCCCCCAGTGTTCCCAGAGTGATTCTGAGCCAGGACCTGCCGGCCGCGTGGTGCGTGCGGCCATGTGGCAGGACTGGCCTGTGCTGGGGAGGTGCCCGTGGGCTCTCCCCTGGAGACTGCTACAGAGCTGATCTGCAGCTTGCCAAGTGTGCATTCCAAACTCAGAGTGTGGCCACACTGACATCAAGCCAGATTCCTCTGCACCGACCGAAGTCACAAGCGAGTTCTTCTCCCTCCCACGGCCATGAAGGCAGAGGGCCCCTATGGCCGTGGCTACCTTTGCTCAAATGCTCGTTGCCAGTCATCTCAGGGCTCACACTTGACGGCCAGGGCCAGGTCTTTCTCCTGGGCTTGAGTCTGTCTCCAGGACATTTTAGACCCTTATCCTCCCACGAGGGCAGGGCCGTGCTGAAGCCACTGCTGTGCTTAGAGAAGGTAACGGCCCAAAGCCAGGGCCACCCGCAGCAGCCGGCCATGCAAAGGCAGTGGGGGGCCGTAAGGTCGGATATGGGCGTGGAGGTAGATGGGTGCAGAGGCTCCCCCGGCCCGGGACCCCTCCCATAGACAGCCTGTGCTGACTGGAGGGTGCCGGACCCGGGAAAGCCTGCTGTCCCGGGACGCCGTCGATGGCAGGTCACCAGGGCCTGGAGCTGCTGAGCAGCCTGGGCCCGGCTGAGCGCTGCGTGTGCCCTTCCTAGATCTCGCGCTGCCCCATGATCCCGTGCTACGTCTCCTCCCCGGACGAGTGCCTCTGGATGGACTGGGTCACAGAGAAGAGCATCAACGGGCACCAGGCCCGGTTCTTCGCCTGCATCAAGAGAAGCGACGGCTCCTGCGCCTGGTACCGCGGGGCGGCGCCCCCCAAGCAGGAGTTCCTCGACATCGAGGACCCGTAAGCGGGCTCACGGCAGCCCTGTGGCCACCCGAAGAGCCTCCAAGGGTTTAGACTGGTCCAGCTCTGACATCCCTTCCTGGAAACAGCATGAATAAAACAGCCATCCGAGCGGGTCCAAATAGTGCGACGTGCCCCCATTTTCCTCTCCAACTTGGCCGTGGTCTGGAGGGTCCCCCAGGGCCCTCATGCCGCCCTCCCTCTGCCTTCCTGGGCGCTGTGTCTCAGCCTTCGTGCTTGGGGGCGGCCAGAGGGAGGGCCCAGACTGTCCTCCCAGGCCCGGCCTTGACACGGGGGCTAGTGCTAGGCAGGAGGCACCGGTGTGTCCCCACCTGGTCAGGGCAGAGCCTGGAGACAAGCATTTGCAGAAACGTCTGAGGGTCATTGCAAGACTGTGTAGCCGGCCTACCAGGCCCCTTTCATCTCGAGAGGGTTGTGTCCCTCGTTTTCTGCAGCTGCCACCGCGGGCCCAGGGTGGCGGTCCCTGCCCTGGCAAGTGCCGTCTCCCTTATAAGCCCAGGAGCAGCCCTGGAGCCAGTGGTTTGTCCTCGAAGGAGCCCCAGTTCATCCTGATAATCCGCCAAATGGTAGTGGGAGCCTCCTCCAGGGCCTTGTGGAGGTGTAGGAGCAACAGCTCACTGAGCCACGTTTCTGCCCTAGCCAAGTCTTTAGGGTGCCCCCTCCTGCTCCCCACACCCCTTCCCCAGCCTCTAGGGGGATCCACACCCTGTCCTGAGGGCAGGTTTCTGGGGGGCACTTGCCGCCCTTGTGATTCATCGGGAGCTTCCAGTCGAGTACTCTGGCTCCCTCCCGTTCTGGCCTCAGTCGTCTGGATGGAGCCGCACCCACGCTTTGCAGGACGGTGGCATGCAGCCGGCAGGGGACACCCCACTTTCACGCCCCAAGGACGGAAAAGGCTGAGTCTGTGTGCGCCTGGAGAGGGCTAGTGTGCGCTCCCTCCGAGATGCGCAGTGAGTGAGTTAGCGAAGCACTTTACCAAGCCCAAGTCGGGAGGAAGGCCGCTTCGCGACAGGCTCACTTCTTCCTGGCCTTCGGGACACCGTGGCCTGTGGGAGGGACAAGTCATTTTTCTAAAGATGACTTCTCAGATGAGACAGAAGCTGAGCTGCAGGCGGACCAACCTCTGCTTATGTTTCCCCATTACAGAGAGTACCTAGTCAAGAACAGCAGGGAGCTGGGGAACTGTTCCCTGACATGCCAGGAAAGTGGGGGTCGTGGTGGGCAGCGCTCTCTCACCAACAGTAAAGATCATCTTTTTCTCTCCCGCCTGTGTGGTAGGGATAAGCTGTCCCAAGGCCACGCAGGCACATTCGGCAGACACACGCTCAAGCCCAGCACAGTGAAACCCAAGCCTGGCAGTCTGTGAGTGGTCCTTCTGCAAAATGCTTCCAAACGCACCATCTCCCAGGCCTGTTCTAGTCTGGGCCGACCCCCCACCTGTAAGACTCCTGACCCCTGGGTGGCCTGCAGTGTTCCTCCCACCCGGACCTGGTCAGCACAGACCTGAATGATTCTCCGATCCAGGGCAAACGGGAGCATGTCCAGGGATCAGCCCCGGCCCTGAGGGCGTTTCATGCTGTCTGATAGGACGAAGTGGGTGAGATGTCAGGGCGGACCAGTCCACGCGATTTCCGTATATACGCCACCACCAGACCCTCCCATCAGTATCGCACCCCGCCCCGTCGCTTCCTGTACGGTGATACCATATGTAACATTTGCTCCTGTTTCTGCTGATTTTTTTTAAATGTTCCGGTTTGTTTCAACATCAGCTGTAATCATTCCTGTGCTGTGTTTTTTTATTACCCTTGGTAGGTGTTAGACTTGCACTTTTAAAAAAAAGATTTTTGCATCGTGGAAGCATTTGACCCCGAGTGGAAAGCATGGCATGGCAGCTCGCTCGTGACAGAGGGTTCCTTCCAGTCGTGCGTCCGATTCTTTGAGTATCTTTGCTTTTCTCAGTTCCCATCTTTTGTTCCATGAATCGAATTATCTAGCACAAAGAAGAGGATTATTTAGTAGGCTGGGCTACACGGCGGCCTTTACATTAGATCCACACACAGTGGGGTTCTCACCATGCTGAGCAGGGAAAAGCCCAAACTCAGATCAAGACGAAGTGCCCGGTGGCAGCCAAGAGATGAAGCCCCTCAGATGCTTCCCAGCCGGTGACGGCCTCTCTACATAGCGTAAGAAGGGTCTCCATTTGGCCTTGTTTAATTTATGTGTTCTAAGCACGACTCTTTCTTCTTTTCATCATGCAAGCGACTCAAAATATTTAAAACAAAGTTTACATTGTAGTTATTTCAAATCTTTGCTTGATAAATATTAAGGAATATCGGACTTGCTGCCATAATTTAAAGCTTTGTTGATTTTGTTCGTTTTCGTTTGGAGTTTCGGGGGGAGCCATGGTGTATGCTGGAATGTGACGCCAGACCTTCCTGTGCTGGCCATACGAGAGCTGCCCGCCGACAAGCAGACCGCGCATGTCTCTGATGCTCTGTATCATTCTGAGCGATCGCTCAGTGGACAATAAACAGTATTATCAAAGAGAAGTGGGCTCTGTCTGCGTGGCTGAATCCGGCGGTCAGAGCTGCTGCGTTCCAGCTCTAGGAGCGAGCTCCGGTCAAGGGGAAAGGGGGGTTTCTTTTGGTCCCAAGAGAAGCAGGCCTGGGTGCTTTGAGGAAAACACGGGATGCCTCAGATTAAAAATAATAAAGGCTAGCAGGTGACTCCCACATGGCCAACAGCATGGTTCAAGTCCCAGACCCATCGGCTTGCAATTCACACCAGGTGCTTATGTGCATGTTCAAATCCCAGGAGGAGAACAGCAGAGGGGCTTGAGGTATGGCCACCCCCCCGTGGGGTGACTCCTCACTTTCCCTCACTGTCTCTCT